AGTGCCCGCGGCTGCGGAGGCAGGTGCCCCGGCCGGAGCCAGGTGCGCAGCGATGGAGACTCAAGGCCGCTGCTGCTGGGAATGCCTCCAGAACAGCCTGGCGGGGCTCCCAGGAGAGCCGCTGCTTAGCGCGCTCCCGGACCCCGCCGTCGCGGCGGAGAAGCCCGCAAGGGCTCCGCTTGCTCAGGATGACCGCGGGGTTCCTGGGCAGCGGCGGGACGGCGTGACCGCTGAGCCCACGCCCGTGCCTGCAACTCCCCGCTCGCCTCCCGCCACTGTCGGGGCTGCTGGGAGCCGGGCTTCCCCGCCTGCTTCCCTGCCCCGCTCCACTCCCCCCGGAGACCGGCTGGAGCTGTTGACCCCGGGCTCCCTGCACCTTGCGACCCTGAAGCAGCAGCAGCAGCGCACCCGGGAGTGGGTGGCCAGATACCCGCAGATGCCCGAGACCCGGGACCCGGGCCCCATCCGGGCGTGGTCGGTGATGCCAGACAACTTCCTCCAGCTAACCTCGGAACCAGGCTCAGCGCCGCCGCAAGACCCCCCTCTTTCCTTTCATTCTCTCTTTCCTGCTCCGGATGAGTCCTCAGAATCCTGGCCCGGGAACCCTCCATTGAATGTTTTTCGTAGCATTCGTTGTCAGCTGTCCCTCCAAGATCTGGACGACTTTGTGGACCAGGAGAGCCATGGCAGTGAGGAGAGCAGCAGTGGGCCCAAAGAATCTCCTGTGGGTTCTGAAGAGGGGCTGCAGGTTGCCCTGGGCACCCCTGATTGGGGAAAGCTCAGGAATCCAGCTGGGAGCCATTCTGTATCTCCAAAGGAGGGCAGCCCCAGCCGGAGCCCTCAGGGCCTTGGGCACAGAGGGGATGGTCACACCTCTCAGAAGGTCCCAATAGTGGCTAATGGGCTTGCAGGCCACCTCCAGGAGACTTTACCCTGGCCGGCTCCCAAGTTGAGGAGATCCCTTAGAAGAAGCTCTTGGACAGGGAGAGCCAAATTGTCTTCCTCTGATGAGGAGTGCCTTGATGAGGACTTGCAGAAAAGGAGTCGGTGCCCACCTCGATCCAGGAAACCCTCCAAGGCAGGAACAGTGCCCAGCCCAAGGGTGCATGCAGCTTTGACACCAAAACTTGCAGATGTTAAGGCTGTTGTGGCTGAGCGGGGTCGGCCACACAGCTCGGGGGTCGCCAGTGGGGAAGGGCCTGCATCTTTGGTCCCCCACAGACTTCCTGAGCACAGGTCATCCCTAGTCCCCCTAGACACAAGGGAGCATGAATGGATTGTGAAGCTTGCCAGTGGCTCCTGGATTCAAGTGTTGACTTTGTTCTGGGAGGACCCCCAGCTGGCTTTGCACAAAGACTTCTTGACTGGGTACACTGCCTTGCACTGGATAGCCAAACATGGTGACCTCAGGGCCCTTCAGGACTTGGTCTCTGGGGCACAAAAGGCAGGGATTGCTCTTGATGTAAATGTGAGGTCCAGTTGTGGGTATACCCCGCTGCACCTTGCAGCCATTCACGGCCACCAGGGGGTCATCAAATTGCTAGTGCAGAGGTTGGCATCTCGGGTGAATATCCGGGATAGCAGTGGGAAGAAGCCATGGCAGTATCTGACCAGTAATACCTCTGGGGAAATATGGCAGCTACTGGGAGCCCCTCAAGGCAAGCCCATTTTCCCCGTCTATCCCTTAGTCCAAAGCTCTTCCCCAACCAGGAAGGCCAAGAGCCGGGAAATATCTAGAAATGTCACCCGAAAGACTTCCTTTGCTGCACTACTCAAAAGTCAGCACAGCAAATGGAAATTGGCCAATCAGAACGAGAGATTCCCCACTCCAAGGGAAAGAGAAGAGTATAGTGATTGAATGGGGGCACCTCACTCCAACATGCAGCCAAAACACCCTCATCCTGGAGCTACTCAGTGGGAGCATATAGCCGGAACAGATAAACTGGGAGGAGTTGATAAAGACAGAGGTGAAGTGAGATGACCTGCCTAGCGTTTACCTCCCTGGATTTTATGTCAGCACATCCTGGACCTCAGGGGTCATCCAGGCTTTTTGATGCTCAAGTCCTTGGGCTGGTGAAACCTAGACAAGGGACAGAGCCAGATGCTCAAAATCCAGGAGGTATTCTTCCTCTTCCCTTGCCCCACAGATCTGGGCACAGTAAGCCACACAGTTTCCCAAAGCAGCAATCCCAGGCCTTGGCTAGAGAGGGAACAGATGTCTAACAAAAAGAGAGGCACTCGAGGAATTGATGAAGCTCAGACAAAATCCTCTCTGGCTAGTAGCTCTCTGGCTTCTATTCATTTGGAAAATAAATCTTGGCTGAGAGTGGAAAGTGCCGGGTTTGGAATCAGATGGCTTTCTTTCTTTTTCTTTTCTTTTTTTGCATTCAAATCAGTGAAATAAAATTATTACTGGAGAGTAGAATTTGATTTAAGAGATTCGTCAGCCCTGTCCCCAAGTCTTCTTTTGAATTCCACCTACACTGGCTAATGTGTGAAATGATTAGTGCTTCCTTTGGGTCTGATCAGAGAAGTTGGGTAAGACCCAATTATGAACTTGACTCCACTCTGAGAGAAATCACTGGCATTCAGGCCCTGCTTTTTTGTATCAACTCAAAGGGAAAGTTCCATGTGGCTCATTTGCATGGTGACTGAAACCATCTTTCATGGAAACTCCCTGTAACAAACAACAGAATTATCATTGGTAGTTTTCAATAGGTTTGAATGGCCAACATTTGTATTCATGAAAAGAGAGAAATGATTTCACTCTGGGGAAGCAGTTAAGGGTTAAGAGGAGAATGCCTCCCCACCAGGACTTTTCTAAGCTGCTAAATATGATTTTACTTGCACTAAATTTGTTGCCAATTAAGATTAAATATTAGCCTTGAAGTACTGTATATCTAACTGGAAGTGCTCCTTTCGTTTGTAAAGGGTCCATGGGATGAGAATGGCTTGTCTATAAACTCCAGTAGAACATGAAGATTTCAGAATGTAAGTTCAAAGAGGGCTGAAAATTTAAATGTTCAAGTGGAAATTGAAAATTTAATTTTTTATGGAAGTGTTTTCATGTGTGGATGCAATAATGCTATATTTTAAAAGTATTTTTGTGTTTCTTCTGGTTATTTTCATTAAAAGATCAACAGATCTTTATAATTTATTATAGTTATGCTGATTACTGTTAATGTTCTTTACAAAATTGTCTGAGTGTCAGATATTTTTGTTTCTTTGTATTTTTACATTATAATTTTGCTGAACTAAATATATCTCTAGTCTACTAGAAAACAACAACAACAAAATAGGCATAAGTAAATCTAAGGGCTTTTTTCTAAAAATACCTATATAAGGGATGAAACTTTGGCAAATCAAATAAAAAAAAGAGAGAGAGAGAGACAACCACAGATGCTGGGGGCATGGTTTGGAGACATGAAAATTTAAAAGAATTCAAGATAAACATCTATGGCTAATACTCTAGTAAATGTCAACTTCTTTTAAAAGCCAATGAATGTTTCTACTTTATCATATTATCACTACATCAATTTCTTCAACACATATGTTTTACTTAGTGCCATGAGATTAATAAAGGTGAGAGGGACATGACCTTTCCCCTCTTGAAACTTAAAATCTACAATATTTATTCTTGATTGCTTTAACCGTGTCTTGCTCCCAACGTGTCTTTTAAAGCTGTATTATGTTAGATATAAGCTTGTAAATGAGGCAAAGAGGAAACAAATTGGTACCAGGAATGAGGACAAACAACTATAATGTAAGAAAAAAATTTCATAGTGTCATAAATATAAAATTAAGTGTTCTGGAGGATTTCAGAAGAGAGAAAGAGACAGAGAGAAATCCCCTTGGGCTGGGAAAACCAGGGAGGGCTTCATGAAGGCCAGGAATCTTTAAGTGAATGATACTGCTCTCCCAAGAAACCAGCTTTGTTAGTTCTACCACATTCTTAACTTCTGCTTCAGTGTGTGATTTACACAGCACTAGAATTGGCTGATCGCTCACTGGTTAGAACACAATCCTAAGTCTCAAGGTGGTTTTCAAGAGGATTTGTCATGTCCCTCTGGCCTTTGTCTACATATCATACTTAACTCTGGTCAACTCTCTTGCTATGCTGTTTTGGGGAAGGATGAGGGCAGAAAAGGCTGCTGAGAGCAGAGTAAAAAACAGATCTGAACCTGTCACCCTCTTGCTGTGTTATAAAGTCCAGGCTGGCAGGGCTGCTAGGCCCAGCATACTTGTCCACCCTCCTGCCAGCCTTTCCCTGCATGAGCCTACACTGAGGTTACACCAGACCCATTGAGGTGCTCATTGCTCTTCTGTCTCATTTTCTGTCTTGATGCTGAATTCCTTCAGCTTAGAAAACACTTCTTGCTGTTTGCCTGGTATACTTCCTCTTACTCCTCAAGGGACAGCTCAAATGTCACAGCCCATATGAAGATTCCAGGACAAATACCTCCAAGCCAGAAGATGTATGGCTCCTTCATCGGAATTCTCATAATGTTATATACATACCTTTCTTATGGTTTTGACACATAGCATTTAAGTAAATTGCATGTTTTAATTTTCTTTAAGACTCTGAACATCAGGAGATAAGAGCATATATTTTCAATTCATCTAAATTTACCAGATAATGGAGGCTGGCCAGTTAGCTTACTTGGGAGAGAGTGGTGCTGGTAACACCAAGGCCAAGGGTTTGGATCCTCATAGAGGCCAAGTGTCAAAAAAAAAGTCTCTTTCCATTACAGTCTGGTTGGTTAGCTCAGTTGATTAGAGCGAGGCCTTATAGTGATAAGGCCAAGGGTTTGGTTCTCTGTACCAGTCAGCTGCCAAAAAAAATTTTTTTTAAATGACTGGCTGGTTAGCTCAACTGGTTATAGTGCAGCCTTGTAACACCAAGGTCAAGGGTTCTGTTCCCTGTACAGGCCAGCTGCCAAAAAAAAAAAAAAATTACCGGATATTTATGGAGCATCTACTAAGTGAAAAAGACATAATTCCTGGGCTGGCTGGTTGGCTCAGTAGGTTAGAGTGCAATGTTTTAATACCAGGGGTCAAGGGTTGGGATCGCTGTACCAACCAGCTGCCAGAAAAAAAAAAGACATAACTCCTGCCTTCAAGAGCTCATAGTCAACTGAGGAAGGGGTTGTGAGTGGGGTCACTGAAAAATGATCCCAGCACAGTGAGGTAAGTGGATAGATGTGTGTTGAGACTATGAGAATACAGAGAAGGGGATATTTACGGGGCTTTAAAATATTTTTTTTAATTATTTTTTAATTGACACATTGATTATACATATTTATGGGGTACAGTTTTATTTCAATACATGTGTACAATGTATGATAATCAAATCAGTAATTAGCATATTCATTATTATAAAAATTTATCATTTCTTTCTGATGAGAATATTTGAGCTCCTCCCTTCTAGCCACTTGAGAAGGTACAATAAATTGTTAATTATAGATGCCTGGCACTGCTGGACACCAGTAGAACTTATTTTTCCTATCTAGCTATAATTTTGTATCCATTAACCAATCTCTTCCCCTTCCCTTCCCAGCCTCTAGTAACCAGGATCCTTTTTTTTGAAGGCTGCCCATATGGGGAATTGAACCCTTGGCCCATGAGGTTACAAGGCTGTGCTCTAACCCGCTGAGCTAACCAGCCAACCTAGTAACCACAATTCTAATCTCTTTTTTTTTTTTTTTGTCTTTTTTTGTGACCGGTAAGGGGATCGCAACCCTCGGCATGGTGTCGCCTGCACTGCGCTCAGCCAGTGAGCGCACTGGCCATTCCTATATAGGATCCGAACCCGCGGCGGCAGCGTCGCTGCGCTCCCAGCGCTGCACTCACCCGAGTGCACCACGGAGTTGGCCCTCTAATCTCTATTTTTAAAAGTTTAACTTTTTTTTTAAGCTCCCACATATGAATGAGAACATGCAGTGTTTCTCTTTCTGTGCTTGACTTATTTTACTTAACATAATGTCTCCAAGGCTTATCCATGTGTCTGGCTAGGCTAAGGCCTGGAATCTTCACAGCACCAATTGTCTAGCTCTTAATCCTGTTCATGATGCCAATTGTAAAGCTAGGCGACCACGAGTACGCTAGTTGTTGGGCCCTTTTACCTGCTGGTAATCCTGCACCGACTGGGCTGATTGCCGAGCTAAGGCTGTGTCTGGAGCCCAGAGACCCCTCAAGCCCATTCGCAGACTGGGTCACAAACCCTTCACATGCCAGGCTGGGTCCCCAGACCCCTCACATGCCAGGCTGGGTCCCCAGACCCCTCACATGCCAGGCTGGGTTACCAGACCCTTTCACACAGGTCTATGAGCTAGGTAACCAGCCAAGAGGTCTTTGGAAGTCATAGGTTTGGAAAAGTATGGCTGCACTGACAGCGGCTGCCCCAGGCACTAAATACCAGCCAAAGTGGCAGTGCTGCACAGGCGCACTAACTCCACCCCCCCACACACAATGTTTACTGAACCACCCCCAACCAGCCCTGAGGAGAGGGGAGCCTGATTATTCTATTTTCCCAGAGCCATGTTGCCACAAATGACAGGATTTCATTCTTTTTTACATCTGAGTAGTATTCCATTGTATATGTATATCACACTTTATCCATTTATCTGTTGATATGGAGATTTTCTTTTTTTTTTTTTTTTTAAAGATGACCGGTAAGGGGATCTTAACCCTTAGCTTGGTGTTGTCAGCACTACCCTCTCCCAAGTGAGCTAACCGGCCATCCCTATATAGGGATCTGAACCTACGGTTTTGGTGTTATCAGCACCACACTCTCCCAAGTGAGCCACGGGTCAGCCCTGCTATGGAGCATTTTCTATGTGCCAGGCTCTTTGTTAATGTTGAAAATGTAACATTTCATAAGTTATACATATTCCCTGCTCTGATGGTGCTTTTCTGGACTGAGGAAATGAGGAGGTAAAAAGGAAGTTAGATGCGCTTTGAAAGGCCAAGTGGAGGGAGAAGAGAGTTCTGGAAGAATGTTCCAGGAGAGGCAAGGAGCGTGAGCAAAGCTGCAGGGTGTGTTTGGGGGATATTTAGACACTTAGTGTGCAGTACTGTGGTAGCGTAGAAAGAGATGAAGATGGAAAATTCATTTAAGACCAGGTTGAAAGAAGCATCTTTTATGATATGTCAAGAAATGTAGGCATTCTCTAGGAACCTAGGGATTGTCAAAGCTCCTCCCAGAAAACCTTAGTGTTTAAAAAACCCAGATGTTTTCCTGAAGTCTTAATTTGAAGACAAAAAATAAAGTATTAGATAGAATGTGCTCAATTTTTTTTCTTTATTTTCTATCCACAGTATTTGTTAATTGCTTATTTATCAAGAGGAACTATTCCACACATTCATGTTTTATAGTTCAGGAACACAGATCAGTGACAAATTTCTGTGAAACTCAATCCAAAGAAATTCTTTACATTCCAAAATCCCTTTGCCCTCCGAATGATGCCAGCCTTCCTTATCTCCTCAAAATCTCTCATGGAATCATAATTTCTGTAGAAATCTGCACATGCCTTCTTCCTTGGTTCAGCCACAGCAAACTTATAGAGAGCTGCCACCCCTAGGGATACGACGAGTGCTCCAACAATGTGAAATCGCAGACGCCTGGCTGGAAGGTCACACATCTGAGGTTTCATTAAAACACCCAAAGCCATGGTAGTTATTGTCCCTCAACACCAATGTCCTTCCTGGCTGATGGAGAAATGAATTTGAATGTGCTCAGTTTTCAAGTTTCCCTTTCAAAATTTTCGTGAGTCTTCAGTGATGTTAATGCTTGTTTGCTAGCAAATAATGGTAGACAACAAAGTAACTTAACAAATGGCAATCTAATACTAAAGGAAACATTAGAAACTGTTGATAAGCTTAGCTCAATTGGTTTTTTTGGTAGATGTAAAGTAGTGAATTTTAATGTTGTAAATATATATAGTGTATATGCATATTAACTATATATACTGTAGTCTTATTTTCTGCTAGTAAAATTGCTTATGGTTCAACATTTCAGGGGGTTATACATAACATGCCATGGCTTTCAGATGCTTTGATTCGTTAATAAATTTTTTTTTTCCTTTTTGTCTTTTTTCGTGACCG